AAAACAGTGGCCAAATTATTATACATTTAAAAGTTCAGCTTAAATTATGTTTTACTGACATAGAATATTTGCTTCCAAAAAAGTCACACAAATAAAAGCTGTGGAGTTAACAGCTGTGGAGTTTATGGTGGTTGGCTACCGTCCACAAATATAAATATGCACTCTGCATGGCTTTTTAAAATGGCAAGTCCAAAGATTCACTTTGCTGCACACCTTCCTTTTGGTCTACATGAAATTGCAAACACTGTTCATACATCCATTTTTTCATGTGCTAAAAATCGTACTTATGTAAAGGGCTACATGTCCAAAATTATTGCTAAGTGTTCCTAATTAATCAATCTTTGTATATTTATTGATTCATGCAAAATTGGGCCATGTAATATTAAAATTAACACATTTTTCTGCATTGTTTACATATTTTTATATGCGTTTTGGCATTTCTCTCTCGCAATTGCACCAAGATGACGTCACGCAAAAATTACGCTCAAAAATCCTCTCTCATTGGCGCAATCTTGTATTCTATCATTCTTGGATATAGACAACTTGACTGAGCCGGTCAGCGCCTTAATAATTCGTGTAATTGATCGCTGTCGTGCAGGGAGTGACTGTATATTTTGTTCGAAAAAAAAGTAACTACTTTTGTGGGGCGATGGCTGGAAAAAGTCAGACTTGGATTCCTCTGCTTGTTAATTTGTTCGTTATTTTTATTTGTTTACATTTTTATAAACGAAGCCTCATAGATGTACTTTTTCTATGACAATTTAATTTTTTGTTTACCTACTGTATGTACAAGCGAAATTTTTTCTACAAAATTTTTTATTTGAAGCAGAAATGCCCCTGGAGCATCTATGTATATGCATTTCTGCATCAAAAACAAAATAAAATAAAACACCAAATGTCGTTTAGGTTTTTTGGCAGCTATGCTCGATATAATACACAAATTTGGACATATGTCCGTACATTAGACTGGTTCAAAATATCTACATCTTTTTATTTTTTTCAAAATCCCCTGTGAAATAATTTGGGACAGTGATGAAAGATGCCTATCAAAAGCGCAGCTTTTAATATTAAGATTTAGTCGTCGCTCATAGCAAATTTCTATTTTCCTTTTAAATAACACAGGAAAAAATTGTTTCAATTTTCCAATTTCATAATTCGTTTTTAGGTCGACGTATCGGAATGAACGATATATGTATGCATATGTAAAAGTCACTCCTCCAAAAGTTATTCAAGATTAGAGTCAGCACGTTTTTTATACCGAGAAAAATGCACAATATCGCCAACAAGAAAATTGCCAAAAATTATTTTGTAGTCACTTCAAACTTGCGCCTGTTATCTATACATAGTATAAAAGAATGCCGAGATTCTTTGCACGCGGCAATATCGAAAACGACTGAACGGATTTTGACGCGATTTTCTCTAATACACTCTGTATCGATAGGAGAGTGACCTTTTTGTACTGTCTAAAAACTATAAGATCCACGGCGTTCGTTGGATCACAAAAAGTGAGGTTTCAAATTAAAGCTCTTGTCCTTTAGAAGAGCACTAATGTCTTATTTTTTGAATAGGGTTGCCACCTGTTAAGAAAATTACTAAATTCAATCCTAATAAGCATAGGCATCAGTTCTGCACCGTCACTGTCAAATGAAAAGACTTAGCCTCTACACCTTTTCCAAGAGTACTTCAGAAAGCGTCAAATGTATTTCAGAAACTGTAAAATGTACTTCAGAATAGTCAATTGTACTTCAGGAAACGTAAAATGTACTTCAGAATGGTCAATTGTACTTCAGAAACCGTAAAATGTATTTCAGAACAGTCAACTGTACTTCAGAATAGTCAATTGTACTTCAGAAACCGTAAAATGTTCTTCAGAATAGTCAATAGTACTTCGGAAACCGTAAAATGTACTTCAGAATAGTCAATTGTACTTCAGAAACCGTAAATTGTACTTCAGAAACCGTAAATTGTACTTCAGAAATCGTAAAATGTACTTCAGAAGACGAAAATTCGTACACATTGTAATTATTTAAATAGTATATATATTATAGTGATTTTAAATATATTTACTTTTTAATATATTTTTCAAATTACAAGTAAATTAGTTTGTTTGCAATGTCTATACATTTAAGAATGAAACAATTAATTTATTAATGCAGTTTTAAATTATGTACCAGCTGGCATATCGAATAAAGATTGTGCATCTGGGTGAAAAGTGGTTGAATGTTGAATGGCTCTGCCACAATCTCCACCAACAACTGTCGCTTTTGCCTTGGATTCAACATTGGCGAATATGGTCCAAGACGTAGGAGCGTTGCTTTGTCTGTCGCGTTAAAGTTGTTGATTGCACTTTCTAAGTGGGAGTGGCACGGAGCGTTATCGCATACAACAACCAGATCCCCGAGGTTGTTACCCAAGTCAACCCACTTCTGTAGCACTGTATGGATCCACTGACATGCCATATCAGCATAAAGCGGAAGGCTATATATTTGTTCATAGTCCGAATTTTACCGTGCAAGCATTTACTACATGGAGTATGTACAAGCGACATTATTATTTGGTCTGGGCGTTGACGAGGGAAAAGCGACAGTTGTTGGTGGCGATTGTGGCATAGCGATTCAACATTATACCAGTTTTCATCCATGCAGATGCACTATCTTTATACGACCTGGCAGTTGGAACATAATTTAGTCTGCATTAATTTAATTGTTTCATTCTTAAATATATAGTAGACATTGCGAACAAACTGCTTCTATGGACTTGTAATTTGGAAAATATATTAAAAAAATAAACATATTTAAAAATACTATTTTATATACCATTTAAATAATTACAATATGTATGTAGTAACTTTCGTCTTCTGAAGTAAATTTTACGGTTTCTGAAATACTTTTTACGGTTTCTGAAGTACAATTGACTATTCTGAAGTACATTTTACGGTTTCTGAAGTACAATTGACTATTCTGAAATACTTTTTACAGTTTCTGAAGTACAATTGACTATTCTGAAGAAAACTTTACAGTTTCTGAAATACTTTTTACGGTTTCTGAAGTACAATTGACTATCCTGAGTTACATTTTACTTTTTCTGAAGTACAATTTACTATTCTGAAGTACATTTTACTATTTCTGAAGTACAAATGACTATTCTGAAGTACATTTGATGATTTCTGAAGTACTCTTGGAAAAGGTGTAGATGTGTAATAATGTATTATTTTTCTAAGTAGGGTTGCCACCTGTTTGAAATCTACAAGATCTTCACCGTTCGCTGGATTACAAAAAATGAGCTGTCAAATGAAAGGGATTGGCCTCTAGATAAGCATAAATGTTTTATTTTTTTTTGCGTAGGGTAGGGTTGCCACCTATTTAAAATTGCTATCTTATCCTTACGTAGAATAAAGCAAAGTAAAGATTTTTAAACCACGCTATTCTCGAAAACTACTGAACGGATTTGGATGAGATTTTGTTTTATATATTCTGTATCGAAGGGGGTATTATCTTTAGTGCTTATAATATCCCTAGGGTTGCCACCTGTCTAAAAACTCATAAGATCCTTACGTTGAATCTCTAAAAGTGAGATATCGAATGAAAACGCTTGGCTTAGATCCGTGATGGGCGCACTAATACTATCACATTTTGAGCATGTGTTAGTGTCTTGCGAGAGCGAACGGCTCGGCCATTCAATCGATTACTTCAGTTGAAACGAGGGGGTTGTGCTCGCACGATTCTGGAATTCAAGAAAAGGCAAGCACAACACCAAATTTCCGACAAAAACTGCGTGCTAAGAAGCGTACAAACAACGCAACATGCCTCGGCAACAGCCAGACTGATTCTTTGGTTGAATTTGGTTTTTTTTTGTTGTCCGGCAACATAATGTGTGAGCGTATAGGTGTGAAAAGCATACAGTTAGCTGTACGCGTGATATGAAATGCCCATTACTGCTCTAGATGTTCAGTAATGTGTTATATTTTGAGTAGGGTTGCCAATTTTTTAAAAATTATAATGTCTTCACCGTTCGTTGCACTAAAAAATGAGGTACCAAGTGAAAGGATATAATATCCGAATGTTCAAAAAGCATTAGTTTTTTTGAGTGGGGTTGCGACCTATTTAAAAATAACCACAATTTCATTACTTAAGTACATCAGATTTTCACAGTTCATTTAATTAAAGAAAAAAAAAAGACAAGTGAAAGGGTATGATGCGATGTGCAATAAGCTTTACTTTTTTTTAGTGTGGTTGCCACCTATTTAAAACTTACCACCTTACATATAATACGTGAAGGAATTTTTATTAATTACATCAGATTTGCGCAGTCGTTAAATGAGAGGACTTGGCATCCAGATGTGCAATAAGGTTTTATTTTTCGAATAGAGTTGCCGTCTGCATAAAAAATTATAAGATCCACACCGTTCGTTGCATTAAAAACATAAGATGTCAAATGAAAGGGCTAAACCATTAGGTGTGCAATAAGGCATTATTTTTTAATAGGGTTGCCACCTGCTGCGTATATGTACTTATTTATGTACACATTCAGCGCGTGGCGAAGCCTCGCGCATAAGAGGCCGGCTAGTACTGGAATTAAATGGGCTATAAAACTGCATACTCAAAAGTGTGAAATTTTGATGAAACTTTATCGGTCATTCCGACTTAAAATCGAGTTATGAAATCTCAAAATTTAAAAAATATCTTTCCTATGTTATTTATAGCATATGAAAAATAGAAATTCGCGATGAGCGACCTCCAGAGTTAACATTAGGGGCAGTGCTTTTGACAGGCGTCTTTTTTCACTGTCCCAAAAATATTTCACTGGAGATTTTGAAAAAAAAAAAAATATAGCCGATTTTTTTTTAACCAGTCTAGTGAACATATGTATCTATGTTGGAATTTGTTTTCATTCACAGCGAATTTCGCAATTACTCATTGACATTTGCAATTTGTCGCGGTTGTCATTGTCGCATCCTGTGCATACGAAAGTGTTGGTTTACTTTGAGTGGTTCACGTGATTTGTATTTACAGATTAATGGTAATGACATGACGAGCGCATGTCACGATGCAGCGGTGCAATGCCTCACTGAACCGCAGCGGTTTGTGCGCTTAGTGTTACAGCGGGAGTACCGAGGACCCTTAGAGGCGCCTTTAAGCCCACGAAGTCCAGCTGTTTTGAATTCACTTAGTCCCTCGGGATATCTCGCAAATCGCCCAGGTGTGCTAGATCTCCGACTAAAATATTCCTTTCCATTATTTTAAAGTCGAATTGACTTAAGTTATTTTAATATTTTCTTCTAATAATTTTTCTCACTACAGCCAACTTTAATCGTTCTATTGGAGACATAATAACAGAGCAAGCTCAAACTAATTTGCAACAGACATCTGCACCAGCATTGGCACAACAACAGCCAGCCCAACAACTTTTTAACTATAACACCCAACCATCATCGTATGGGATAAACAAAAATTTTACAGCAACCAACGTAGCAGCAGAAACAATACCAACAGCAACTGTTAGTGGTAATATTGCCCCGAAAACCAACGGTTTTACGACCGCGGCAACGACTGCGTCGAATCAACAACTCCCACAACAGCAAATCGATAAGATTACGGGACAACCCGTTCCAGCTCCAAGACGTGCCAACTCTATTCCTTTGGGAGACGCGGTAGAAGAAACTATGCCAGCCAACGGTGATGCCGCGCCACATTCAACTACACCGACAAAACAGGCAACCACCCCAGCTACAGATGCTTCTTCAGAAACACAGGTATGTAAAGGTTTGATTTTCCACTAATCTACTATAGTTTATTAATTGTGTGTCTGTAAATGATTTGTATTATAAACGATACATAAAATACTCATTGGTTATTAGTCAACTATAATAATAGTTTTCGGTTATCATTACTCCATTCTACGTGTTCATTTATTTTTCCGAATGCAAAATTTTAGAAAATTACCGTCACTGCCGCTGACAGTTGTTGATAGCTTTGAAAATATGCACCCTTCACTTGTTTTATAATAGAAACAACAATTTCATTACACAAAATTCCAGTTTCCTTGCTTTCATTTATAAATTTAACTAGGGGTAAAGTATATGTTGCACTTTGGTATTTACTGACATCAAACACTACTTTTGAGTTGTGTTCATGATAGATCTGCAATGTGAAGCATAATTTTCCAATAAAATTAAAGTAATTGGTAAGTACGATAAGGGTATTGTAAGTATTATTGTATTATTGTAAAGTATTTTAGGTTACTGCAGAGTAAACGTTTGTAAGCTGGCGCGTTATATTTGTAAGTAAGCAAGGTCTTTTGTATGTAATACCTGCGACGCACATATGATATAGAAATTCCAATGTGGGTGTTCACATATGTTTGGTTATCAGGTTATCTGGTTATGTGGTTATTTGTTTATTCAGTTTACAACAATAGAAACACCATAGAATAATAATTTTTAACCAGATAACTAGGCAAGTGTGAACACCCACAATATAAATATTGTGTACAATTATTCGTAGCATAAAGGAGACGCAAGTGTGTCCCCAGCATAAATGACTTTTTATTAGATATTACTTATCTGTTCTGACCGACATCGAAAACATGTTGTCGTTGCTAAAACTGGTTTTCGACCTAAAACTTGTATTTTCGTCCGTGTAAAATCTGTCAAACGAAAACCAGTTTTGGCCGAAAACTACTTGAAAACTCACGTTCCACTCATTCCAATCGGTGTCTTCACTAGTTCTTTTCGATTATTTATCGAAGTGGAAGTCATATTTTATCATCTTTAATACGCCATTTCGGATTTATTGTTAATTGGTTGGCCTAAGTAAAATAAGAATGAAAGTAAGAGGTTGTAAATGAAAAGAAAATGAAGGAAAAGTATTTTGGTTTTGTTTTTGTGTAGCAAAACTGTAATCAAAAGATGTAAGAAATGTAAACGAAAACACTAACAGCCGGTGTGAACAGCCTTCATTCAGCCCATAATCCCAAATCTCGTTTCCAAAGTGTTTTCGTTGTCGGTCAGAACATGGTATAAGGCTAAGGTAAAAAAAAATCGAAAGAGATCAATCAATCAAAGATAACGGAAACTTATAACTTGTTTTAAAGATTACAGTGCCTGCTTTTAAAGGCTGTTGCCTGTAACTGATTATTTTTAAATTTTACAAGGATTTTATTAAATCCGTATGTTATAAAATTTATATAACACATGTGTTCAGGAATTTTATAACTATAACGGTTGTTTGGAACAGCCTGAAGGAATCGAGATACGTAGGTATAGACAATTAAGCGTTACGTGGCGTAGCTAAAACGTTAAAAAAATTTAAAAAGTCAAAATTTTAAAAAGGTTTTTCTTTATGTAAATACTAATTAAATGGCCCTTTATTTAGTAATGAAATTACAACTGTTGGTAGTAGAGATTTAAAGATATTAGTAAACATATGCGCTGGCGTGACGTTACAAAAAATCGAAGTGGATTTTGACTTGGGTTATAAAATTGCAAAACTCTTTGCGAATGGGTCAAGACTATTTATATAAAATTGTTTGTAGTAATATTTTAAATATTTAACCCTTTCAGTAAAATTGTTCAATATATTGGACAAACATTTTTTGTACTTAAAGCTCTTTTTTTCTTAAATAAGAGCTTTTAAAATAACAGTTGTTTTGAAAAAAGTATATTATTCTTATTTACCGCATTTCTTTTACTACATTTTCGGGATGCAGTTGACCGTGTTTTTTCACAAAAGTTAAAAGTGTCACAAAAATCGATATTTTGTAATGTAACATATGTGAACAAATTAACTATTTTTCGGTGGAATAGAGATCCGAAAAAATGTTAAATGTTATTCTCAGTTGTGAAATATATTTCGTAATAGAAAAAAAGAAAAATATTGATATCACTTCCCTGTAAAACTAAGAGTTTTATAAAATTTTTGAATTTATTTTTGAATTCAATGACCCAAAATTTGCCGGTAAACCAATTTTCAGATCTTTAGCTTCAGCGGCTGATTTTTTGTACTGAGAGGGTTAAGGTTAAATTTCGAAATCTTTAAATGTAGCGATATTTTCTACTCTTTGTTTAATCAGCTGAACTTTTTGACGTGGCTTCTTAACCTGTCGTTACGTTATTAAAATTTCCATTGAACAAGTTTTGTTAATATTGTTTTTTGAACGAATTTTTTAACGCAAAGGAACCATGCATTTTATGCCGAATATACTTTTTATTTTGACATCAGCGCCCCTAGCGGTTCCATTTTTGCAACATGCCCAGTTTGAAACAAATCAGAGCATAAATACGGCTTTTCAACATATCCACCTAGCTAGATCATTTTTCGCAAAAATGTTTCTGCTTAAATAACCAGTATATATAGAAGCCAAATTGGCCCATAAATATATTAGATATATGCATTTATTTGTTTTTCTCGTGGTAGACTTTCCGCTGGAAACACCCATATGCCTAAAAAAGTGCCGGTGTGCACATCATAACTTTAGTAAATATTTAGATATATTTGAGGGATTCACAATGGTGTCGTAAGTGTCGTATTGTTGTATGTCGTAAACTTTAAAAGCTTAAATAAATGTTTAGAGAACTTGAAACCACAACCAACTACTTTTTAACCCTGCAAAAATTCATAATATGACTTTGATGGTACTTTGTTAACCCCCTTAATATATTTTTTTAGGCGTTTAAAGTTTACCACATACAACAATACGACACTTCGACACCGTTGTGAATACCCCAATTATGTATATTCCTCTGGTGCGAAGAAGGGTTAGTTTTGAAAATGGCCAGACATCGGACAAAGAGCACCCCTATATACACACATATGTATGTAGGTCATTTAAAAAACTACAATGTTTCAGTAAATATTGAAGCTAATTCGCATAACAATTATATTTACAATAACTTTGTACAACTTAAAAAACGGACGATTACCGGTCACACTTAAGCCGTCATCGATTCGCCAACAGTTAGCGAGTGGCGAAACGAACGAGCTCAATGAGGTACAACCAAACTCGCTATTGTCCATCCTTGCTAGCTAACTTTGTTGTTGCTTTCATATGCGAAACTTTTCGTTAAGCGACCGGAAATCAAAAATAGCGAGCAGAGAAGTGGCTATTACATGAATAACGGGTTTGTCGATCTCTACTAGTCTCAGTGCAATTATTACTTTCAGGAAATATGTCACTAATTTTCGCAAATACGAAAACACGATATTTCGCCCGAACTTATGCTTCTTTACTTGCTATTAATAAATGCTCATTGGACAATACTTATAGTCACAAGTAATTTTTAGCAAAAAAGAAAATCCGACTTCAATTCTCATAAAAAAAATATATATATATCTCATGATCCAATGATCGGATCTAAACCAGATTAGTATGAGACCACCTCTGAGACACTACCTTCCCGATGCGAATTATTGAAATCGGTTGACGTGGTCCAAAGTTATGCGGTAACATACATAAAAAAAAAAAAAAAAAAATTCCGACGAGCTGATGACCTCCTCCTTTTTTGGAAGTCGGTTAAAAAAAAAAACTTTAGTGCCTTTTCACGCGCTTTGGTTTCCGCAAGCCGCTTTGCGACAATGTATGTAACCGGGCACCGGCTTGTGTAAGAGCTACTGTAAATCCTTTTTTGGTTGTTGGTGTTTCCAGAAGGCAAATTGGCACTGAAGATGGCGAAACGCCGAAACCGGTTTTGTCACCAAACCAAATTTGACAAGGGATGATGGAAAAGTGTTCCACAGTAGGTGCATCCTCATATAATTGCTTTATGCAGAACGTGTGAAATGGCCCTAATGGTCCTATGCTTAATTAAGTCATCTGTAATAATTTAAGAAGCTACAGAATTCCCTTTATATTAATATCTCTGTAAACCGGTTATGATATTATTTAATTTAAATTAACAGCAGCAGTCCTGGTTTTTTTGAGTCTAAATTTGTTCCGTAGGCTTATGTACATTAATTATTGAATTTCATGTACGAGTGTACATGTATGTATGTTGTTTAGCCTCTTTCATTGAAAGGTAAGTAAGCGCGAATTTGTAAATGTTTGCGGTAAATTATGAATTTCACATTGCAATGGTCTACACATAATCACTAAATTAACTATAGCGGGACAGCATAAAATTGTTGATGATATTTTCTAAATAATTATTCGCCATTAAAAAGGACATACATATACATACATTTTTAAATTATTATCTTATCCATTGTGTGCTAATCTAAAATAAATTAATAATAATTATATTTAAACTTAACCACAATATTTCTTTGTGTTTGTACATTGCATGGCTAAATAGCATAGCTAAATGTGTACTAGGCGAATTTATTATTGTATTTTCCAGAGCCTAGTGTAAACTCCTGCACCCCATGGTATACATATAAATATATATCGATCCCTTTACTCCTGCATACACATACATACTACATACATATAAACTTACTTTTATGTTTAATTACTGCAAAACTTTTGTTTATGTATTGTCGGTTTTGTTTTGTTTTGAAATATTTTAGTTTAGACTTTTCATGTTTGTTTATTGTTCTATATAGGGAGCATTATTATGATTACCCGTTTCTTTGCCAATCGACGAAGGACTTTTATTTGAGTTGTATTGCATTTACTTTTGAGTATATACATAAATATTTTTAGGTATGCCTTTGGTTAATTAAAATACTATATAAATTGATCGCAAATTTGCTTTAACACATCGACACTAAAATTTAGTTTTTAAGCAGAATTTATAACCCAAAAACCTAAACAAGCATTATTTTCTCTTTTTCTTTCTTTTGATTTAATAAATATTTTTGAACCTATTTAACAAAAATGCGAATCAATCAATCAATGAAACGAAATGAAATGTCATTGAAACTACTACCACCAAAATTTAAAAACTTAAATAAAATTTGTATGAAATTTATCTAATGCTGGGGATCACTATGCGCCCAATGTAGATGCCGCCACTCCGTCCGCTGACAAGTGAAGATTTCCAAGCGATGATACCTGCGCATTTCCTAAGCGGTGGCAGTCAACATCAGGTTAATGTGGCGTGTGGCAACGAAGTGGGCGTTGGGCCCTCGGTCACCGTAACGGTGAACAAAGCTGTTCCAGATCTGCCCATGTTCCCCGCCGCGCCCACAGAGCTGGGTCGCATTACTGAAACGATCACAAAATCCACATTTACGGAAACCGTAATGACGAGAGTCACCGATAACCATTTAGCGGAGCCATTGATCAGTGAGGTGATTATCAAAAAATGAAAAAAGAAGAATACACAAAATACATGTGTACCTACAGATGTATGTAACGTACTTTCACAAGTGAGCACAAAACGTACAAAATGTATTACAACCGTACAAAAGTACATAAAAAACAGTTGCAGAACACTCTTTGAAATCACACGGTATACACCAAATAAGGAAAGATCTATTGAGTTTTTAGTTATTGCACTTTTATTTGCATCCACTGATTTTATTTGACAATGGGGTCGTTTTTCATTCGGTTCTCCAAATTTATTCCATATAATTTTTTTTGTGTAAATAAAAAATAAAACTCCAATTTCTAACTGGATGCTTAAGGTGCACCTATAACAAATAACCAACATTCAATCACAAATTCTTTCTATGGTTTATGGATTTTCAACGATTTTTAAGTTGCAAGTGCTTCTAACAATTTGAACGAATGCTTAGATATAGGAAAGTAAACTACATACGTGTACGTACGTTACGCATTAACGCTAGCAAATGGAGCATGCAAATGTAAATCCAACTTTTGAACAAGAATTTACGTGAGCGAAAGCAAATATGTATTTCATTCTGCTCTTTTCTGTATGCTTCTTATTACATAATTGGGTAAAATAATTAAAGAACTTTTTAATACAATAAGTTAGTCAAAATATGTTATATTTCATTGATTAACAAAGACTGGGTTTGCATTTGCATGCTTCAAACAAATGAATTATTTTTTACATTCATACATAAGTTCATACAAAAACTTTACTGAAAATAGCTATATACTACATTCATACATATCGTCGTTTAAAGTGCAAAACCGCGTATCAACAAAATGCAAAACCGCGTATCAGCAAAATGCAAAACCGCGTATGTGAAGTTGTAGAAATTATTTTCTAAAGCGTAAAAACACTCATATTTCAAAATGGTTCTCTTTTTTATAAAGCAATCGCATTTCTGGCTAGTATATTTCAGGACGAATGGATAAGGATTGAGCCAAGAGCTTGTGTGAGCAAATCCAATTTTTGGCAGCCAATGTCAGTTACGCGGTTTTGCAGAATGACGATACGCGGTTTTGTACTTTAAACGACGATATGTATGTATGCGAACATGTTGGGTTATGCATGTAAATATTTCAACGGCTTATATTCAATATCTGGAATTTTCACAAAAATGAAATTTTGTTAGAAAACTCCACTGAAGACTTAACTGTCATCGATTATGTTAATGTTGACCTTGTATATCGCTTGTGAGCAGAATTTACTACAATTAATATCGGTGATGACAGTTAAGTCCCAGTTGGGTTTTAACATCAGAAAGTAGTTGTTGTGAAAATTGCAGAAGAAGGCATTGAATATAAGTCCTCGATGTGTGTTTTTTTCATGTATTTTATCGTAAGTATCTACACATGTAATATGGTTTAGATTAAAGTGGTGTGCATGCAGGAACTTTGTTTCTCATTTTTAATTTTATACATTTTACTTATTTGTTGAAAGAACGTCATAACTAAAAAAAATCCAAAATACGAGAAAAAAGCTTTAATTAGGGTTTCCGCATTGTACAGAAATAAATAAAAGCCGAAAGGCATTATTAATGAAAAATAAAATGGATTTAAAGAGCTCTATAAAGTGACATTTTCATAAAAATTTTAAATTTATAAAGCAGTGGAAGTCTTCTTTATGTGTTATGAATTTGGGTGTAACAATATAAAAAATTTAAATCAGGGAACGTTAGTTTCTTGCTTTGATAAAAGGCAATTGCTTGATTGCTAAACAAAGTGGAAATAAGTAAAGTTATAAGGTTTGAGACACGCTTGACGGATATCGTTTTTTTTTACCTTCCTTTTATTAACTCGGAATGTAACTATGTAATACTGATGCGCCTAAAAGATGCAGCGATTTCTATTCTTAAGTTACATACCTGATGACCAGTGTTGCCGCGAATCATTTTTAGCGGTCCGAATTTCGTCCGAGTTTCTAGTCTTTTTAGAAGCAGAGATGTTGGCTATAACACAGTGTCGAATACCATATGCTTTCCTAATGACAATATTTTTTACAAGCGTTTGTTTGCTCCTGAAAAGTACTCATTTTACGTTCGATAAATTGACATGGTAGGGACGATATAAGGAATTTTGGAGACCCAACTTGGTTGTTGTATCAATATTTGCCACGTCCATTATTTTTAAGAAAACAACGAAACAATTTTTTTAAGGTCATTTCTGTCAGTTTTAGTATAGTTTAGGCTGAAAGCAAAATTTGAGCAACGCAGTCGCGCAGAAAATCACAAATCTTTGTTTATCTAATATGGTATAGGCGGATAAAGACATGTGCGAAGAAAGGTTAAAAGAATCATATCAGAACCAAATCTATAAATTTTAAGAACCTAACAAATTACGAAAAAGAAATGGCCTTAAATTTATTTTTAGACGTTATCAGGATTCTAGCGACTCTCTGGAATGTCCATCCACGACAGACCGAAAGAAATGTTTCACAAGATATTAGACACAACTAAGTAGATCCAGTACAAAACATCAGCTATATTCCTAGTTTTTTGCCGTGTATTAACTTCGTTAAGACAAACGCCACTATTATTTTGAATAGCACAATTCATCACTTTGGTTTTGTTTAACGCCGTAGTGTTTTTACATGAAACCTTAAATATACTCAAATATATCTGGAAATTACGTTTTAAACACTTGAGCTTCTAATTTGCTAGGAATGATCCAGCTAGACATAAATTCTTCTTTAAAAAAATTAACCCATAAAAATATCAACGAGAAAGTGGACATAAATTGTTGGTTTTTATGAACTGAAAATATGAAATTGCCAGTGGAAATGTGGATATTATATTTTGCCTTTGAAATATACACATAAAGTATGGACGGTAAAAAGTAGACAACGACTAGCACCCCTATTGCGAGTGTCGAGGAAATATGGGCAATCCGAAGCAGATACAGAATTGAGTCATATATGAAATTAAAGGTTAACCGAAAATTTTCAGATTTCAAATCGGGGGTCCACTAACAGAAATGTAAACTTCTAAAGAATCCCTTAATTTATTCTCAAGCAACGCATTGCATTCACACTGATATAGTTATTGTATTGTTGCTTAGAGCAGATGTGCTCGATCAGTCTCAATATGGTGTGTGACGAAAGAGCATCAAGAAGGTTTTAGTTAGAAAATATTTTGAAGAGCTTGAAAAGTCGTATTTAATTTAATTACACACAAGTAATAGGAAGTATTAAAACATGGGTGTCAAACAATAACGAAATCTTTAGTGGGAACGTATAGATTATCTGTGAAATGTTAGAAAAGGGTCGACGGCTGTTTAAAGCTGTAAATTCAAATTATTTAATAAGTTAAATGAATTAACAAAAGATGTGCATCAATCACAATGGTAAGTTATTTCTAACCTACATACATATATTATTATGACTTGCGAAGCGAATACATTTGGTGAATAAACATGAAATTTGCATTAAGAAATTTCACAGTGCAAAGACCTTATACAAGTTTGTACAAGCGAGCAAATTTATTCGCTTCGCCAGTCACAATACCAGCCTGTAATATATATGTATCACAATATCAGATGAAAGAGATTCAAGAGCTTTTAGTTAAAAAATACCTTTGAAGAGGTTGCTGTTTGAAAAGTCAATTTTGACTTAATCCATCACTGAGTTGAAATATTTATCCCACTGTCAGAGGAAAGATATTTGAAAATACTTTTGAGTAGGGTGGCCACCTGTTTCAAAAGTCTAATTTACTTAAATTATACAAAGTTATACGAAATGTTAGAGTATGAGCGTCAAACGAAAGAGTTTTAAAAAGACTTTAGTTTAAAATTATTTTTGATTAGGGCTGCCACCATCGGTTCTTCACGGCATTCCACAAAAAAGTCCAAAGTTATCAGATCGCAATTCGGTATCCAATTGACAGCTCCGGGACGATGGATACCAGGATACCACGATTACCTAATTTGGCGGGCAAAATATCACTTTTTGTGCCATGATCAAGTCCATGCCTTCAAATTCCGGTCACAAAAAATCGTATTGGTGTCAAAAGAAAGAGTTTTGAGAAACCTTTAGTTTAAAAATATGAAACTAATTGCCTTTTCAAATAATAATTGCGTTTGCGATTAAGACTAATAAGGCTCTTGGGTACAGGGATGCCGTTTGGATCTAAATAGATCCAATTGGATACATTTTTAGACGAATTTTTGCGGGATACTTATTTTTTCCGGTCAGTGGATACCTTTTTAAATAGGACAAAATTTTATTTTTCCTATAAAGTTTTTTTCATTCAAAAATCGATTTTCATTAAAGATGGTAGAAAGCATTACGTTTTCTGAACGTATGAAGAATCGCTACTTAAGCGTGAAATTAAAGCATTTTATTTTTTGTGAACGAAGCAATGAACATATGAAGAGATCTCACCAAAATATGTATAATCGCAATTGCTTTAATTAGCTTAAAGTATGCTTTAAGCAAGATCTTAATATACATATCGTCGCTTAAAGTACAAAACCGCGTATCAACAAAAAGCAAAACCGCGTATGTGACGTTGCATAAATTATTTTCTAGAGTAAAAACACTTATATTTCAAAATGGATCTCTTTTTTATAAAGCAATCGCATTTCTGGCTAGTATATTTCAGGACGAATGGATAAGGATTGAGCCAAGAGCTTGTGTGAGCAAATCCAATTTTTGGCAGCAAATGTCAGTTACGCGGTTTTGCAGAATGACGATACGCGGTTTTGTACTTTAAACGGCGATACACATATGTATATAAAGTAAATTATACTCTTTCTGTAGTAATCTCTTTCATATCACATATTTTCATTTGTTAATTTAAAAAGAAAGAAGATTTCAATGTAGTTTAAAAAACTAACTTTGATTTATTTAAGGAGACTTTTATGAATTTTACTGAAAAGACTTTGAATACACTCTAAAAAATTTTTGTTTATTTGCGCATATTAAGAGAGGTAACCAGTTTCCTCTTTTAATGTGTGCAAA